AAAGGGAGAGGCATATGGGGGCTCGGAGATGGTAGTGAGTGGTGGAAAAATGGGGATGTTTTTAGCAGACAGATGGTCGACCCTGGGGGTCGGACCAGGGTCAAGTCGAAAAACAAGCAACAATGTATGTCTGACAGAAGGACGCCCCCTCCTAACTTCCTTCCCTTCCTTGTTTATTCTCACATACCTTTCTTTCATACATGTGTCCACATATACATTAGGTCAACATCCCAAAAAGTACTTACCCTGAGCTACAAAAACAAATGAAAAGACAAAAAGTCTGCTAATGTGACAGGCATTAAAGCTATAAGATGATTTCTTATAAATTATTGTGCATATTTTAGACTTCAGTGTCCCTCCCCCAATCAACTGCCCTCATAGAAATGCATTCAAAAGCATATGATAATATTGATATGTTAATTAACACAACATATGTGACTCATCTCTTATTACAGCCTCCAGACTAACAAGTCATTTCTACTTTCTTCTGATGTTTAAAAAAAGAATTTTTCCTTTCATCCATATCACCCCCTACGGTGTTCATAATGGCGACTGTGGTGATAAGAGAGTGGAGGCCACATGCAACAAGGGAGCCCATTTGGAATCATCCAGAGACTGTTGAGGGCCCCGTAGCATCCTTGCTCTTTTTGTTCCTCGTTTTTAAGTGCAGCGGAGGGCGGTAAAAATGAATGGCCGCAAAACACGAAGGCCTTCTACACAGCAGAATGAGCAGAAGCACAATGAACACATGCTTGAATTTGTATATATTAAACAGAAGCTTGTCCAATAAACTCATTATTATTCTGTTCAGGATGCTTTTTTTTGGGTAAGAAACTGTGAGGGTGTACCAGCATCTAGGCTGCTGTGAGAGACCAACTAATTTACAATCATGTCAGCATCCTCCTCCTCCTTCCACACACATACACACTCACTCACCTCCAAATCATTATGTCACAGTCCTTTTATAGGCTAAATTGGGGTCAAGACCACGGATGGTTGAACAACACAAATAACAAGTAGTGCACCAGGAGGAGGAGAGAGACAAAGATGTGGTATTTTTCAA